AAACATTAATAACACTAAAAATTCATTTTCCAACACAAAAATAAGCTTGGTCCCTCCATGGTTTTCGAATTTTCTTGGAACTATAACTCGGTCCAAAGTTGAGTTCCAAAAGAAATACTTCATTCGATTCAGCTCTTCAAGCTATTTCGAATGACATTTGTGGATTTTAGAATATGGGGGCTCAAAGCCAGTTTTAACATTTTATTTTATTTTTCCAATATTTTAATTACCTTTTCCTTTCTTCTGATCATAAATTAATTTAACTAACATAAGAATATAACATCCCAAAGTCATAAACATTAATACTAATTGTGTCATATCGAAAAAATTTTGTCCATCAGTTCCAACCAAATCAGGAAAGAAACATTGGATTTGTCTTTAAAAATATTTAAATTTTAAATAAAAGAAAAACATACAAAAAAGGGTCTTGTATTAATGAACGAATTACAAAACATAAAAATATAAAAGGAAATGATAAAGAAAGTGAAAATAATAATTTTAAATAATTTTTGTCACTTCGTGTTGAATACCTAAAAAATAATAATTAGCAAAAAAAAAATTTATTTTTATTTTTAATTAATTACCAAATAGGGCAAAATATCCCCAACATTCTGTCAATTCCAATAACCAACATTAAACTAAAAACATTTAAACAACCACCAATTGGAATTATTTGAATTAAAGCACAAAATAAACGGGGGATTTTGCCTGATCCAGGTAACATAAAAACAAAATAAGGCAAGATAATTTGGATTTTTGAAAGGAGAGAACAAAAAGCATAAATCCCAATTAATAATTGACAAGTATTGTGTAAGCGTCTAAAATTAAAAAATTGTTTTTAATCTCGACAAAAATTCATATTGATTTAAATTTTATTTAATTTGTGTTTATTTTATTCAATAACAGTTTTTGAAAAAAATATTTTTTAAACTGTTACTTTTGTTTGATTGTAGCAATAATTAAACAACCAAATAAAAAAGTTCCGATTTGATCTACACAAGTATTTATTGTCCAAGTTGCTCTAGCAAGTGGAGATTCTCTTGGATCCGACATTTTTTTAAAGGAAGAATTTTTTTAAATAAAAATTTTTAAAATTTAATAAATAATGAATAAAATTTAAATATTTGTTTTATATAGTATCGTGAAAAAGGAAGTAAAGGAATGTTGCACTTATTTTAATTTTAAATTATCATGAAACTCACCCACATAAATACAAAAATTATTTAAAAATTACCAAGAAAGTATTAATTATTCATTCATTCAAACATTTTTAATTAAACTCTAATTTTTAATCCCAATTATTTTGTTTAATTTATAAGTAAAAGTAATCTAAATATTTTAATACGTCAAGCAAAAACTTATAAAATATTTATATATTAAACATATTTTAATTATTAATTTATTAAAATATTTTAATTGGCTACATAATTTTATTTTATATTTTAATAGTTAAGGTTCTCTTTTTCTTACTGTATGTATTTTTATTAAAGAATGACAAATTTTCATAGCCAATTTTTGGCTTTTTCAGACCTGACAAGGAATAAAAAGTTAACATTGACCTTTAAATATTTAAATTAATTTAACAAATTTTCAAAATAATTTAAAAGGAATCATTTAATTTAGCAATTCTTCTCCTTTTTTTACAATTTTAGTTGGCTTCTTTCCATCCGCAAATCCCATTCTACCATTAACCCAATTAAGAGAAACACAACGATTACGTAAAAATACTTCTCCCATACGTAAAAATACTTCTCCCCGGTACGAGTCTTTTTCGGGCCCAACTTTATCGAGTCGGGCCGGTACGAGACTTTTTCGGGCCAAACATCGAGACCTGACTCGATCTTTCGGTCCGAGTCGGTCCATTTTGGCAACCCTATTTATATATTTATTATCATAATTCATTTCTTCATTTGTAACAAAAAGTAATAAACATTCATTTCCATATTCTGTCTGAAAATAAAAAATTTTTTTGAAAATTATTACAAACAGAGTTAGTTTTCCGATAATTGTAATAAATTTTGGGATCCCTCTTGCAGAAGAAATTTGGGCTTTATCGGAAAACAGTGCCGGCATCACATTTTTCCTTATTTCTAAAAAAGGTTAATTTTCCTATATTTTTCTCTCTATTTTTGATTTGTGCCTCAAGACTATAAACGCAAAAGGATTATTTTTCTTTAACTTTGAAAGCATTCACTTTTTTTTCTGCCCGTATTTTGACTGACCGAGTTCGTCCGTGGCTGTCCGTGGCTGTCCGAGTTCGTCCCGTATTTTGACTGACCGTCTTCGTCCGTGTTTTGTCTGTCTGTGACCGTCCGTGTTTTGTCTGTCTGACAAAACTTGTCTGTCCTTTTTCGTATTTAGCCTTACGGCACAAATCAAAAATAGAGAGAAAAATATAGGAAAATTAACCTTTTTTAGAAATAAGGAAAAATGTGATGCCGGCACTGTTTTCCGATACAGCCGAAATTTTTTATTTCATTAATATTTTAATTTAAGTGTATTTAAATTAAGATATTTAATAAAATTATTTTTCTTTTAAAAAAGGTAACTCCAGTAAATGATGGAACATTTGAACATGACGTTTTATTAACAGAAAGTCAGGCACAAAATTTAATAAATGCTTTAGATCAAACTCCATATCCTTCAAATAAAAAATATGGGTATGGACATGGAAGGAGTCAACGTTCTTCTTTATTTCTTGATCAATTACAAACACAAAGATGGCCTATTGGGGAATCTATTAAATATTATATTGATGCAAATATCGGTAGTAAATATTAGAGATTGGCTCGATACGATTTTTCATCGATAATTATCGATATTTTTCGATATTTTTTTTCGATATTTATCGAAAAATATCGACCGAGAAAATTTTGAGTTTTTCGATATTTTTCGATATTTATCGAAAAATATCGACCGACCTCTTCGGCCGATCTCTAGTAAATATACTTTAAATATTTTAAATATCCCCCTAAGGCTTTGGGTTAAATCATCCTTTAGAGGGGCGCATTACTTCAATTGGGGTGCCTTATTTAAAAATCTATTTTGCAAATTAATATTTTTAAAACTTTAATTTTTTATAAATTTACAGCACAGAACGAACGAGATATGTGTAAGAAAAAGAATTTTTAAAAATTTTATTTAATTTGATAATTTTTATTTTATGTAAAAAATATTTATTTTTCTTAATTTAATTTGCTAATATTTAAGTGCATCAAGCACATCAACTTATTCAGGTTTTAAAAAATTAAAGAAATAATTTTTAAAAATTCTTTTCAAATAAATAAAATATTCTAAACAGGTTTTTACGCTTCGACCTGTATTCGATTTGAACAAGTTAATGAAAAACCCCAAACCGATTATTTACATTATGTAAAAGTATCAACACCTACATTGTAATAATTAAATAAATTTGGAAAAAAATAAAGAAAATATTTTTTAAAGTTGTGGACTTTCATATATTGGACGTGTAACACCTGCAAATCCAATATATCTGTCTTTTCAATGTCAAGATGTTTGGATTTTAATATTTTAAATAAATTAAATAATCTATTAACACCTCTAATTCTCTCCTAATTATAAAATACATTTTTTAAGAATTCCCCGATTTTTTAAAATTCTCCCCGGGGGTTCTTCTAAAAGTATTTTGGTATTAAATTTCATAGTTTTATTTAAATATTTTTTAAATAAAAATATTTATTTAGCCAATTGGTGTAGCTGCCCACGAGACAATGCACGCATTAGGTGCTAATCACGAACATTTGAGAAGGTACTTAAATAAAAAAATTTAGTAAAATTCTTTTAAAATAATTTAAAGTGATCGTGATGAATATATAAATATTCAATGGGAAAATATAAATCCCCAATTTTATGATTTTTTTGCAATTGCAGATCCAAGCAAATTTACTCCGTTAGTTTTTAAAAAATATTTTTTAAATAAAAATTATTTATTAAAAAAAGTTTTGGTGTAATTTATTCTTTCGATTCAATAATGCATTACGGGGCATCTACAGCTTCTTTAAATCAAAAACCAACAATGGTACCTAAAATTGATCCACAAATAAATACTCCAAAAATGGGGCAAAGACAAAGACTTTCTGTACAAGATATTGAATTGTTGAATAAAATGTATTGCAAACAATCAGGTAATTTGAAGAATTAAAAATTTATTTTAATGAAAAGAAAAAGGTGAGTAATTTTTTTAAAAAATATTCTTTTAAGAAAAAATAATTATAGAAGAACGAGAATAATGTAATAGGAAGGGAATACTAATAGTTTTATGTTGTTGGTCCAGCCGGACAAATTTAACGCTCACTCCTAATAGCGATTAAACGAGTTTCGTCTAGCTCCTCCGATTGGGCAATAAATATAATAATGATATTGTTCACTTGACTGATTAACTGACTGACTAATAGATTAATCCTTTCCTTCACTTATTCTTTGGTTATGAATAGGTGGGGGTTTAACTGAGTTTTAACTGAGTATTTCACAACTCTATTACCGCCTTACATTATATTTAAATTAAACAAAAAACTTTTATTTTCTTCAAAGATTGTTTTGACACATCAGTTTATTGCGGAGTTTGGGCTCTCCGAGGATTTTGTTCTGTTTACCCACAATATGGTTGGATGCAACAAAATTGTTTAAAATCTTGCAATAATTGTTAAAAATTATTATTATTTTTTAATTTTTAAAATAAATTTTTTAATTTTAATTAAATTCTCTCAATTATATACAAAAATATTTAACAAATAATTAATTTAAAATTATTTTTTTATTTAATTTCCCTTCCATTTTTATTAATAACAGGTAAAGGTGGTGGAGGTGTTAAATCTGAACGTCTAGGTTTCCAACCACTTAAATGTTGACATTTATCATATATTGTAATATCCTCTTCATCTTCCTAATTTTTCATTCCTCCTAATTTTTCATTCCTCCTAATTTTTCATTCCTCCTAATTTTTCATTCCTCAATAAATATTTTCAAATAAAATAATCCTCATGGGAAATCATAAAAGACTTCGCGATGAATCGATTAGTTCTGATATCGAAGTTGATAAAACACCTATTTTAACACAAACACAACTTGAGCAAATCACCCAAAATGTTGTCCAACTTCTGACACCCATTATTGAAACAACAATTAAAACATTATTTGAACAATTACATCAGAAATACAACAACAACCAACTCCCTTCCCAAACACAACAATCAACTTCTCGATGGGGTTGCCCCCCAAACTTAATGCCACCAAAAATTAAACAAGCTGCAATGACAATTGAACATCTTCAACAGCCCGTATTTGATGAAAATTTGAAAGAACTTTATAAAAAGAAGAGTTTTTACGCAGTCATTGAAAGATTTCCAGAATTGGAAAATGAGGAAGAAGACTTAAAGAACATAGAAAGAAATGTTCAAATAGTAATAAACAACAAAAACTTTAAGGAAGCAAAAAATTTCGAAGTTAAACGACACGGGATCAAGAAGCAAAACAATTATCATCGAATCATCAAAGTTAAATTTTCGACTCCAGCTGCCGCACATTCATTTATTAATCAATATAGAACAATACACAAACCTACCTTAGGTGGGCATAGTCCTTTCGCAAGAAGGGACTTAACCCCACCTGAACTACAACTACAAAATTACCTCAAACAACAGGTTAAAGAAATTAATGCAAAACATGGAAATGGCACAGCTTGTTACCGTAATCTTAAAATTTATTATAAAAAGCAAGTGAACTTGGACTAGGATTTAAGGACCTCACAGAAAAATACTCAAGAAAATAACAGAAAAATAAAAAATTTAAATTGTTTACTCTTAAATATACGCTCCATTAATTCTGAAAAAGTCGCATATAAATTAGTTGAACTAGAAAATTATTTAATTAAAAACGATATTCATGTAGCGTTTCTAGCTGAAACATGGTTAACTGATAAAATATCTACCGAATCCCTCATTATTTCTGAAAATTATAATTTATTAAGAGTAGATAGAGCAAAATCAAGAGGAGGCGGCGTAGGCGTAGTTTATAAAAAGGAATTAAAAATTACATATGTTCCAACTCTTTCAATCTCCGAATTTAGTCATGAGCTTCTTACCCTTGATATATATTCTGAATTTAAAAGGATTAGATTCCACTTAATATATAGACCGCCAAATACAAAATTAACAGACGATAAAAAATTTTGGGGAATAATAAAGAAAAAGTACAAAAATGAACTTTCAAATATTATATTAGGGGATTTAAACCTTCCAAAAATAAATTGGCATGATTTTACACTTCCAAAAGATAAACAGAGCTTATATTTTTATAATACAATAAATAAACTAAATTTAAATCAGGTTATAAGGGAATCAACAATGTACAATACTTCCCATACTCTAGACTTAATTCTTCAAAATAGGCAATTAATCGAAAAATATAAAATTATAGATGACTTAGTTGTGAGTGACCATAAACCTATAGTATTTGAAGTAAATTTTCCTATCGAAAAAGTAAAATCTAAAGAGAAAAGAAAAGTATTATTATTTAAGAAAGGAAAATATAAAATAATAAATTGGTATTTAGCTCAATATGATTGGTACAATATATTCAATAACAAAAATCCCTCGGAAATAGCTGACATATTAAATTCCATAATAACCCAAACAATCCAAAAATTTATCCCATCTAAAAAATTTAGCGAAAAAATACCCATGAAATACCCTAAGGAAATTAGAGAAATCATCCAACAAAAGGCTGTTGCATGGAAAAAGCTGAAATTAGGTGCAATTAGTAAAGATACCTATAAAAGCCTTGAAATCAAATGTAAATTACAAATAGAGAAACATAAAAACAATTATCTGTCTAAGAAGATAGGATCTGGGCATATAAGGGAAATACATAAACTAATAAAGAAAAATCGTTTTAACTTCTCTAGTATACCTATACTTAAGGAATCTGAAGAAAGTGACCCAATAACATCTGACACAGACAAAGCAAATAAATTTAGAGAAATTTTTGACGAAATAGTTAGTGGAGATAGAAAAAATAAACAAGCGAGCCTCAAATCTGGGGATGAATATCAAGGAGAAAATATTTTCGAACCATATATAATAGAAAAATTATTAAAAAAGCTCCCAAATAAATTATCCCATAGCCCTGAGAATATCAATCAATATTTTATAAAAAAATGTGCTACCCCCTTGGCTCTCCCACTCTCAATCTTATATAACAATACGTTTAAAACCGGAACTTTTCCTGAATTATGGAAAAAAGCACACATTCTGCCTATATATAAAAAGAAGGGTTCCTTAAACGATCCTAAAAATTATAGACCAATCGCATTAACATCCCCAATCTGTAGAATTTTTGAGCGTCTGATAGCGAATAACATATTAGAACACCTTAACAAGCATAAAATAATAGCTGAAGAGCAATTTGGGTTTTTACCTAAAAGCTCTTGTACACTCCAACTTTTATCATCAATGCAAGATTGGTACAACTCACTTGATAGGAAGTTAGGCACAGACGTCATTTATTTTGATTTTGAAAAAGCCTTTGATAGTGTAGATCACGAAATACTTATAAGAAAATTATGTGAAATAAAAATAGATAGGTTAACAATTAGATGGATAGCAAATTTTCTCACAAATCGATCTCATACTGTAAAAATAGGTGAACATTTTTCTGAACCATTTCTGCCAAAAACAGGTGTCCCACAAGGGACGGTGTTGGGACCATTATTGTTCTTAATATTTATAAATGACCTACCCAAAAACATTCCGACAAATATAAAAGTAAAACTATATGCAGATGATTTTAAGCTATACTCAGAAATCAAGACAGAAAATGACTGTATACAATTACAGGAGGCTATAGACAATGCATGTCTATGGGCTGAAAAGAATAAACTTAAATTCTCTATCACAAAAGTAAAGGTTCTAAAAATATACAACAAAATTAAGTTTAATTATGCCATAAATGGGGAAAAAATCGAGGAAGTTAATAATATAAGAGACCTAGGTATATATATTGATAACAAACTTAAATTTGATCAACATGTAGCAAAAATTACTAAGTCCTCATTTATAAGGCTAAATAATATTCTAAGAATATTACCCAAAACATTACCAATAGAAACATATGTAAAAGCATTCAAAACATACGTAAGACCGATTATGGAGTATTCCACTGAAAGTTTTAGCCCTAAACTAGAATATCTCAACAAACAATTAGAGAAACCACAAAGAAGCTTTACAAGAAAAGTTCTAAGATATAAATTCAAATACCAAAAAATAGAATACACCGATAGACTAAAAAGATGCAGTCTTCCCCCAACTAATATCCGTCGTATAAGAACAGATCTTATGACAACCTTCAAAATAATAAAGGGTTTCTATAAAATAAAACCAGAACAAATGTTCTCTAAACCTAATAGAAATAATCCGCGCTTGCATAGATATCAAATATTTAAGAAACAAGCTCAGAATAACCATTTCTTTTCACATAGAGTGATAGATAGGTGGAATAAACTTCCAAAAAATGAAATCGAAAAAATCAATACCATTCCTCAATTTAAAAAATTTTTAGACAATATATTAATCACAGAAGACCCTAATTTATGAGTAACGAATTAATGGAGTGTAATAATAAAAAAACAAAAAAAAATAATAAAATCCTTGTCTAAAGGTTCACTTTCTTTATTAAACATACTTATCTTTAAATAGTAAATTAATTTTGATACAAATATTTTGATATCCACTTTTATTTATTTAATTTACATTTAGTTTTGTTTCTGTGGAGTCCATTTATTTAATTTTTTTTTAACTAAAATTTTCTTTTAACTGTATAATTGTATTGTATTTGATTTTTTTTATATGTTACCTCTCCATAAGTGATCCTTGTGGATCCAGGAGTTTTATTTTATTGTTTCACATTTATTTATTTGTGTTCGATAAAGAAAAAAAAAAAAAATTCAAAGTCATTTCCAAGTTATTAAATGAATAATGAAATTAACAAAATTTTAAAATTAATTTCGACTTTTGTAAAAATTTTAAATAAAAACTTAGTTTTATTAAATTGTTTTTAGTATTTAATTTATTTTAAATTTATCTTTCTTGTCTAAAAAATTTGAAGAATAGTACCTTATAAATAGTTAAACGTTTTTTCCTTTTCCTTTCAATTTCAGTTAATTTATTAGAAGGATTAATTTCAGATACTTTTTTCATTTAAAAATATTTTGAGATTAAAGAAATAAATTTCTGTTTAAAATATAAAATTTTTAATGTTATTTAAAAAATGCTTTTTTAAAATGTTGAATTTTTTGTTTTAAAAATTATTTTCTTAAATTATGCATTCAATTGACGTTTTGTTTTGTGTTAAAATGTTTTTAAAATTTTATAAGGGAATGGAGACTTTAAATTTTAAAATTAAATATTTTAAAAATTTATAAAAGAAATTAAATTTTCAATTAACATTAATTAAAGTGAGAAAAACGAAAAAAAGACGAAACACAAGAAGACAATAAGTATTCTTTAAAATTCGAAATTTGTACACTTATAATATTTTTAATTTAATTATTGAACAATCTTCTTTGTTAATTTTATATATTTATATTTAATTATATTTTAAGTATATTTTGGTTTTGTTTTTTATAATTTCAAAAGATCGACTATAAAAACTTTTAAATATTTTAATAAATAAATAAGTAACTCACTAAAAACTACATATTTATTTTTACATCCATTTTTGGCAATTATTTCCAAAAAAATATTTTGGAAAGATTTCTTTCCAATTTTTACTAAATTGAGTGTTGTTATTTTTAGCAACTAAAAATTGTTTTTTTATTTATTATTTACATAATTTAGAGACTAATAATTCAGAGAATTATTTTTAAAGTAAATTTACTAAAAATAAATCATAACACAAATATTTAGTACAAACATTCCCCCTCATAAGGTAAAAACACAGATGAGAGAATTCTTTTATTTTTGGAAAACAAAAAATAATTATTTTTATTTTTTCCCGCTAAACAGAGAAATTAATTATTTAAATTCTATTTTTTAAATTAAAAACTAGCCAAATAAAAATAACTGGCAATAAGCCATCATTAAATTAACTTAGCTCAAAAATTCAGAAATCTATTTATATAATTAACAATTCCCTTTACTATCCACTTTCAATATATTTTTAAAATATTGATATATTTAGTAAATAATTTCTCAATTAAAAATACAAAAAATCATTTTAAACTTTTCGAAATTTTCTGAATCAAAGCTAGTAATTAAAAATAAATTAAAAATTTTTTTGTTGTAAATTCTGAAATTAAAAATCAGACTCAGTGTTTGAAAATTTAAAGACATTTTTTCAATCATTTATTAAAAACAATATTTTTCCAAATAAAAGTATACATTCAATTAAATTTTTTAAAAATTTAATTTTCAACCTATTTAGAGATGAAAATATTTTTAAAATATTGATATATATATTTTTAAAATATTGATATATTTAGTAAATAATTTCTCAATTAAAAATACAAAAAATCATTTTAAACTTTTCGAAATTTTCTGAATCAAAGCTAGTAATTAAAAATAAATTAAAAATTTTTTTGTTGTAAATTCTGAAATTAAAAATCAGACTCAGTGTTTGAAAATTTAAAGACATTTTTTCAATCATTTATTAAAAACAATATTTTTCCAAATAAAAGTATACATTCAATTAAATTTTTTAAAAATTTAATTTTCAACCTATTTAGAGATGAAATATT